GGGTGAATTATATTTAATACATAATAATTTCTGAGGGCTATGGATAGAATTTAATACCAATATTATTATTATTATTATTATTATTATACTCTTTACACAGTAGTCAGTGAAGAGTATTATGTATAAGCTTCATCCGTTCGTCCGTCTGTCCATCCGATGTCACGTTTTTTACCTGCACCATAAGTCAAAAACGATATCAATTAGATAATTACAGAAAAAATCAAGCTATATGGGGGCTAGGGGGGGTAAAAATAGTAAAAAAAAATCCTTACTCAAAAACTAAAAATGCTATCAACTTGAAAATTTCGGAAAAAATAAAGTTTTATAAGGGAACGAAACCTACTGATTTAAAAAAATCTGAACAATAATAGGGGGTGCAGAAATAGTAAAAAATTAATCCTAACTCAAAAACTAAAAATGATATCAACTTCAAAATTTCAGGAAAAATAAATCTATATAAGATGACGAAGCCTATTGATTTTGACAAAATCTGAACAAAAATAGGGGGGTTAAGAGGCGGAGAAATTAGGGCTGGGAGATTATTAAAATAAATATTCGATTATCGATTATTTAAAATAATCGGTTAATTGAAAATAGTTGGTTAATCGAAATTAATTAATCGAATATTATCGATTTAAGAAAAATAATCGATTAATCAAAATTAATCGATTAATCGAAAATCATATAAAATAATCGATTAATTGAAAATAATCGGTTATTCGAACATATTCGAATAGTCGACTAATTAAAAATAATCGATTAATCAAGAACAATAAATTATTTTAAAATAATCGATAAATAAAAAATAATCGATTGCCGAAAATAATCGATTACTCAAAAATAATTAAATATTCGAAAGTAATTGATTAATCGAAAATAGTCGATCAATCAAAAATAATTAAAAATAATTGATTAATCGAACATAATTGAAAATAATCGATTAATCTTTAAAGCTTGAAAATGATTTGTTTATGGTTATATCAGCTACAGATTTATCTTTTAATATTGTGTAAAAATAGATTTTAAAATATTTACTGTATGAATGATTTTTGTAATTCTAAATGTAGTATGCAGTTATTTTATTTTAATTAAGCTTTGTTTTTTATTCTTTTATATTATTTTTACGTATTGTTACCATGATGTATGCTTCATTAAATTAATCCTAAACAATGTTTAAAATCTAATTGAATAAGGAAGAAAATAAAGAATGTCTTTAACGGGCATAAATGCTTGCGTTTATCCGAACAAGTGTTTTCGTTCCCTCTTGAATGCTGCGACGAGCGCACTGTGGTACCGTCGGCCTTAGTGGCACCGGACTCCTAATTCGCTGACTTTAACAAAGAAATACTGAAAATATCAAATTAATTTAATTGCAAAAAGCTTTCTTTTAACGTCTAAAAAATGCGTATTGTGTATAATATATTGTATACATCCTGAATCGTTCTAGTGGATATTGTTAATAAATACCCACTAAACATGAAACATTACTAGTCTTTTTTGTAACATTTCTCATAGAGACTTTTCTTAATATATTTTTAAAACAATGCTGAAATATCCCATAGATGTTTAAATTTTAACATCATATTCATTAACATTCCTCGCATATATCTACAAATGAAGTTTTATGTATGCTGGAATACTTGAATTAGCAGTTATATAAACATCTTTTGTACTTCTTTTAGTATCTTCCTGTGACAAACATTTATACGATGTTAATTTGTATAACTCACAATAATATCGCATACAGGTCAGCACAGTAATGTGTACAAGTAACACATCTTTAAGATAGCTAACTTTCGTCTTTACATCCCAGACCTGGCAGACCTAACAGTTCGTCCCGCGTTCACAGATGGAGATACTAATGATCGCTTGCTACTTATGTAACAGGTAGTACTGTATTATGGAGGAGTCTGATGCTCAGTCAAAGTTCTTACTTTTACCTTTGATATTGATTTAGACCATTGTATTATCATACTTTTTCTGTAAAATTTCATGGGATTAGAATAGAAGTTTACCTTGTCTTCTAAGCTTTTAACAAGTTTATTTCTATTCTGTTTTATATAGATGAAATATATAAAATATTTATAGTCCATACACGATACACAGACTAACGGCACAGTTTATTGCTAAAGAATCAGTTAGCTCACTTGGATGAGTTGAATGTTCCAAAATAATATCCACTCCAGGGATACAAATTCAGGATGCGCAGAAGACTGCTGTTTGAATATAGACGGTTGTCATATATTGTATTGGTTATGATTTGATTCTGTATGCGCCAGGGAGACAAATCCAAGTTGCGCAGTGCATAAACTGGAACATTGAGATCAAAAGTGCCGACGCAGAGTGAGAGAACTGATTCTTTAGCTATAAATTGTGCTAATGATATGTTCCTGCGCATGCAGCTGACTGACTGAGAAATTAAGCAAACGACAAAGCTTTCAATTTAGTCGTACGGCGAGCTATAAAGCTATTATTTAATGTCAGTTCGCGGAAATCGTCAAGTTTACGGTTAGATTTCGAAACGAAAAAGCCCACTTTGGATAGTAATCGTAGCAACAAGAATTTTGATAGTGACCCATCTGCGCTTTCCTATTAACTAGCGAAAACTTACGAAAAGCCTTATTTTATGTAACAAGTGAATATTTTTTCTAATTTTGACTAGAATATTTATAAAATTGTGTTTTGGTAAAAAAATAAAAAATACTGACATTTAGGCAACCAATATTACTACTTTCATGTATAGTTAGTTGCATATGATTACCTTAATTTTTTATTGACGAATAGAAAAGCATATTAATGTATTATCAACGACTTATTGTAGTGTATTTATATTGTTTGTAAAAATTATTTAGATTTCAAGATAGTGTGTTATTTTGTCGTGTATTGTGTTTCAATCTGCCCTTCTTTGATATAAACCTTTAATAATAATATATATTATTGATTTTAAAATCAAAAAAGGTTTATTTTTATTTGTTTTCTTTTCGTAAATAATGTTCAACATTATGCAACTGGTTGCGTATAGTAGAGCATTTTGACACTTGCTTCTATTACAAAAATGTAACTTTGTGTAAAAAAGCTTTTATTATTATAATTTATTAATTTTTATTTATTCAATTAAAAAATTGGTAGCGTTTTATCAACCATTTGCGGATCTAACAGGAAATCAGCCACATCCTAAAATAACCGACTTTACGATATTCGGTATTTTTTTATACGAAAAACCCACAATTCTACCTGTAGCAAAAATAAATGTACCAAGTTAATGATTGTTACTGAAATTTATTTATTATTTCTTAATTGTACCTATTGCATGGAATAATTACCCAGACAGCACACCAAATCCCTTGGATATCTAGTGGACATCTCAATATCCACTGAATTTCCAGTCCATGGTGGACATCTATTTATATTCATGAGCTGTAATTTATAGACATGTAAATGTCCATAAATAGTAGTAATTACATCACAAACTATAAAAAAATATCAAAGTCTAGGCGCGAACGCAAACCATGGCGGATATCAAATAAATGTATTTTTTGGATATATGTATGTACCGAAATATCAGAAAATTTGAATTGATTTAATAATTATTAAATTACTTAAATATTACGCCATGTGAAAACTAAGAAGGTATATAGGTGGTTGCACGTGAAGGGTGCTGGTTACTTTTAAAGAAGTAATTTCAGAGAGAACCGTTTATTTTATATAATAGGTGATATATATATATATATATATATATATATATATATATATATATATATATATATATATATATATATATATATATATATATATATATATATATATATATATATATATATATATATATATATATATATATATATATATATATATATATATATATATATATATATATATATATATATATATAATAAAAGAAGGTTTAGTGCGGTGAAAAAATATAAAAGATAAAAGGATTATTGGGCAAATACCTAGTAATCACTGGGAATGTTAGCACAGTCCACAAATGTGTGGTTGGCTTCTTGAGTGATCTCCAGTTGATTTGATTTCATCGCTAGTTCCATTCTTTTTTGAACTTGGCTGCACCGTACTGATGAAGACCAATAGTCAGAAACACGTGTCTACGGTTTGCCTTTAGGCATTTTTTTTTTTTTTTTTTTTTTTTTTTGCGGTATTTGCCCAATAATCCTTTTATCTTATATATATATATATATATATATATATATATATATATATATATATATATATATATATATATATAGAGTGGAAGGTTAGTCTTTGCTGAATAGTAATGTAAAATTCAAACTAATTTATTGGGGGCAGCAGCAATATATAATAAAGAAAACTCTTTAAAGATGATCCAAGCTTTCGGAAATTTTAATAACTTATTTCCATCTTCAGGGAATCTACAAAAGGTGTGGTGTGTCTTCATAGGAACATAATATTATTAAGAGAGTGAGTTACTTACATCTTTGTGAGGATGAATTATTAATGATGTTAAATGTTATGATTTTGATGCACATATAGAATTAAAATTACACAGTTTTACAATATAACTTAAAATTATTGTGGTTAAAATTCAGTTTGAAATTTAACTGTTATATATATATATATATATATATATATATATATATATATATATATATATATATATATATATATATCGATGGCTTATTTGTAATAGGACGTAAAAAGTAAAATTTTCAGTAAACAAGAAAAACATAATAGAACGTGAAAATAAAAAAAAACGTGATAATTTTTGGTATAGATATAATCTTGGTGACATTTTTTCATATTTACAATGGCTAAATACAATTTGTTACAATAAAAATGCATTTTTGTGGCTTACGCCAAATTAAAAGAAGGATGATACTTAAAAATATTTATTATTTTTAATCACTTTAATAAACAAAACATTTTATTACAAATATTCGTAAACAAGAATAAAATAAGAACAAAATGAAAAATTCTAAAAATTTAAAAATACTTTAAATTAGCAAACATTACTAGTTATGAAACTATTCTATATGATGTGGAAGACAATCATAGAAAGAATGCGTATCAGATGTGAGATGCGTTTTCAATTGCTGCAAATGCAACCATTTAGAATGTTTTATCTTTAGTCTCTCTTGAAATAATCTTTGGAATAAAACTATTTTAATGTTATTTTGTTTTGGTCTTTGTGGTAATTCTTTGTAGTCATCATCAAAGTTAATTTTATAAAACAGTTTTCCTTCTGGGGTATACATTAAGGCCCTAAGATCTGTAACCGTTGGATCATTAACATTTCTTCCTGGCCTAATAGAATTATAGATAAATGATGATTTATCATCGAAGTTTATAAATTGATCGTGAGTTAGGTAACAGACATCAAAAGGTTTAGGTTTTGATCGAGCTTCGCGAATTACAGAAATGTACTCACTTGGTAGTTGTATAATTCGATATTTTAATTTCTTTTCGATTAAAGCATGGACAGAGTCACACTCCATTTGAGTGTGACCCTTTTCCAAATATTTCTGCACAATAACAACATTATGCTCGATTGAGAAATGCAGTAATGCATTAGACAATATAGCATTACGATTCTGATAGCAACAGCCATCAGAAAATAAAATAATGGGTTTTTTATCGGCCAAACAATTTTCTTTTAAATGTTTTATTATGCAAGTGGCAAAAATAGATGCACTTAAGTCACCTTCACTTTCATTCCATACATAGTTTACGCAACTATGAGACTCTAGGTTATAAATGGTAAAATTATGAATTTGGAGTTTTGTTTTATAATAAAAAGCACCCACGTTTAGAAATGGACATAATTTTACCGCTTGTGTGTCCATAGTGAATGTATAAACCTGATTTTGGAGAGCTTCTTCCTTATTTTTGTTTTTTTCAAGCCTTGCTCTAGTTTTTTTTGCAAAATGTGCATTGTAATCGTCTTCAGATATTTGCTTTATCTTATACCCGTAACACACATCGCATTCGTCTTTCTTTGGGCGAAAAATCGACAAATTCATCTCTTCAAATACACGGTAAAAAGGGAAAAGTGTGTACGGTTCGATATTGTTCTCCAGACAATTGTCTTTGTATAATTTATAGATCTGAGATTTTGTTTGAAAAGTTTGCTCCAAGTACACTTTAGAACTGTCTTTTCTACAATAATGGGACGGTTGCTTCGGCAATTCATTAAAAAAAGTATTTAGGTGATTTCTCCTTTTTTCGTTTTCACGACTTGCTTCATTATTATTTACCACTCTTTCTGTTTTTTCTACTATTCCCGAGCTACTTTTTTTTAGCCAACAATGTACCATTTTTTCTTTTAGTCCCAAAGTGCCTAAAAACATTCGTTTGCATACTTTAAGTTTCTCATTATTAACTTTTAATTGGTAAATAAATGTGCCGGATCTTCTAGACGGGCCAGCAGTATAGCTGCGTTTTTTTGGGTTATAATCTACCAAAGAGCAGACATACACTTTTTTCTCGTCCCACGATAAACTCCAAAATTTTGAAAAAAGTTTCTGTGAGTCTTCTATAGATATGGAGCTACAAAATCTTTTGTTTCTTAAACAGTATTCTGACTCACAATGTACTGACTTTCTAGAATCGCGCTGTACGTTATGGCTTACTTTTCCATCTCTGGTTCTAGTGTATCCTAAATAGTTCTCACCTTTCATTCTTTTAACTTTATTCCTCTCCCTTTTCCAATTTTCTGGTTGAGCTCTTTTCGATCTATTTAAGTGGACTGCCTCTTCTGTATTAGTTTCTTCCTGATTTTCGTAAGTAGCATTTTGCGGGGGGGCAATGTTTTTTTCAGCATCCGTTTCATCTTCACTGTTTTCATCAGATGGTGCAATATTATAGTCTGGATCATCACTATCAGATAATACTGGAAAATCTACTTCATCTGTAGGCGTAGTTCTAAAATATCCTGTAGATCGACATTCTCTCTCAGTAGCTAAATGTTCTTCATCTGTAGTATTTAATGAAATAAGTCCATTGATATCGACATCAACGATGTCTCTATTTTCAAAGCATTGTAGATCCGTATTGATGTGGGCTGGTAAAACGTTAAGTGGCAAAACACAAGCTTCGGTGTGAACGTTATCTGCACTGGAACAAACGGGTTCAGGATTTGTACTGTTAACTTCTAAAGGCACACATTGTTGGTTATCAATAAAATTTAATTGCTCATTTTCAAAAATAAGTCCTGCATCTACCAAATTTTCTATGTCAAATTCAATATGAGTTCCGGGTTTATGATTTTCAACAACCTTCAAAGTTCGATCAGAGATTGGGTTAACACAAGAAGATTGTAAGATCTCTTTAGGTTTTTGTTCTATTGCTAATTTAACAAGATTCTGGCTTCGAGCTGACATTTTTCTAGAAACAAAAAACATTATTAATTACTCCCATCTATAGCATCGTAAAGCTCAAACTTTTCAAACGCATGTTACTTTTAGTAGCTACTCTTGAATAATACATCTTAATACTAGTTTTGTTCAAAGTAACTAGAAAAGATAATTATCAACCAATTTTAAATTTGTAATACGGGATTTCCTATGTCCCGCCTGGCGATTCAACACCCTGTATCACTTGTCTATTTTAAAAATGAACAATAATTGTTCATTTTTAAAATAGACCAGTGATATTACAGTCTTATTACATTTAATTTAAAAAAAAATGTATATAGTATTGTTTTTTAAAGAATTATTCTTTAAAAAACAATACTGTATACATTTTTTTAAATTAAATGTAATAAGACGTATCGCAAAGAATAATACTATAAAGTTTTAATGCAATAGGACGTATCAGCAAAATAGTGTGAAAAACTTACCTGTAGATTATTTTATGCCAAATTTATATTTATTTCACTGCTATCGCACCTCTATATTGTTATAATAAACTTCTTGCACGAAAACGCACTAAAATAACACACCAAAGTCCAATTTACTTTAGCGGCAAAGTACAACGTGTACCCCTGCATAAGAGAAATGTGGTTTACGCGTTATTGCCGCTCAACATATTTTCGTTGCGATACGATATATTACTACAAAACGAAATTCATGGTTCTGATTGGCCCGAGGCTGGCGCGCTTCTGTAAATGCATGTCAAATGGCTCTATTCACATAGTAACACCAAAAGCGGGGTTTTCAAAAAAATGTGGGTTACGTCCTATTGCAAATAAGCCATAAGTTCTAAATGGTTAAAATATCAAAATAAAATAAAAAAGAAATTAATAAAATTGTCACAGTATAAAAATGAAGTCAATAGTGTAATAAAAGTTGACACTTTAAAAAATAAACCTTTTAAAATGTCATAATTTGAAAAATACTTATTGTAATTGAACATCAGTTGGTCTACACATAAATTCTGTCCATAGTTAGTTCTATGAGCATTTACATAAAATAGTTTCATATGCCTAGTAAGTCTGGCAGGAACAAGGAATCTAATAAAGTGTACCAGGCTGTCACTATCAATCAAACCGTTCAATAACTTATACAGGAAAACAAATGATGCTTCTCGACATTTGCATTCCAAACTCTTATAGGTCCCTCTCAAAAATAACATCAAGATCATTTATAGTTTGCTCAAAACTTAGTTCAGAACCTGCAATTACAATCATGCATAATGATATTAGCTGTTTTATTAAACCTTATGACTTTACATTTATCAATATTCAGTTTAAGCAAGTTATATCATATTAAAACTATGATTAGTACCAGTTGTAGGCAAATATCTTTTTTTAGCATCCTACAACTGCCATCTTAATAAAAATCTAGTGACCTTTGAAATATACCTTATATAAATACACTTTTTACTACTTTTGTACAATCGTGCACCATTTTAGCTACCAGTGAACCTTTGCAATATAGGTACCTTATTATACTCTTTCGTGCAAGCGTTCAGTGTTTTCGATTCTAGTGAACCTTTGAGATATTCCTTATATACCCTTTATACCTACTTTTGTCCAATTTGTCAGTATTTTTTTTTACCTATTGTTAGCAAAAAGAGATTACACTCAATCGAAGATATAATTATATTCTCAATTGAATACACTAAAAAAATTATTAAACAGTAAGGCACGAAAATGATAAACAAAAATACAGACAGCCATTTTACACGAGCGCACGTATGTGAATACCCATTCCTTACGAACGACCGCAGGCGGCCTCAGGATACAGCGTTGTCAGAGTTGCTTTAAATAATTTCTAACACGGCCAATCCTAACCAAAACATCGCTCTCGATGTTTTACTAAATGTCTTCATCTCGGTCTTCATATTCCTCTAGATTTTGTGGTTCTTCTTGCTCCCATTCATTGCTAAAAGTAAGATTATCATAATTTTATATTTATTTACAGAATTAAAAAAAATGAACCAATAATATTTGCATACAAATCGACTCATTTATTTTTAATCTGGGTCACAACTAATTTCTAATAGCGCAGTGCGTTATTAGAATCGAGCTCTTAATGCAGAATCAGATTCAAGCAGATCTTAAAAATATCATTGCTGCATTAACAAAGCATACTAGGTGATATAATTTCTCAATGTTTAGCTAAATATACAAATATTCAACATTTTAACATTTAACCATTTAAAATGCAAAGCGTAACAAGCTTTTAAACAATAACTAATCATAATGCAAAGCGTAACAAGCTTTTAGAAACATTAACTAATCCTAATGCAAAGCGTAACAAGTAACAAGCTTTTATAAACATTAACTAATCATAATTCAAAGCGTAACAAGTTTTCAAACATTAACTAATCATAATGCAAAGCGTAACAAGCTTTTATAAACATTAACTAATCATAATAGAAAGCGTAACAAGCTTTAATAAACATTAACTAATCATAACGCAAAGCGTAACAAGCTATTATAAACATTAACTAATCATAATGCAAAGCGTAACAAGCTTTCAAACATTAACTAATCATAATGCAAAGCGTAACAAGCTTTTATAAACATTAACTAATCATAATGCAAAGCGTAAACAGCTTTCAAACATTAACTAATCACAATGCAAAGCGTAACAAGCTTTTAGAAACATTAACTAATCATAATGCAAAGCGTAACAAGCTTTTAGAAACATTAACTAATCATAATGCAAAGCGTAACCAGCTTTCAAACATTAACTAATCATAATGCAAAGCGTAACAAGCTTTTAGAAACATTAACTAATCATAATGCAAAGCGTAACAAACTTTTATAAACATTAACTAATCATAATGCAAAGCGTAACCAGCTTTCAAACATTCAGCATAAAAGTTATTTAACATTAAAAGATTACATTTATTCTAACACGAGCCACTTATCATATGCCTTACCTTATTTCACTTTCCATTAAGTCTCTCATATTCTGTCATATTCATTGAATATGACCAGTCACTCGGCCACATCATTAACTGCTCCTTAGCAGCTTTAGTAATTAAGGACTTTCCTACTCTTCCGATTTCAAAGCGACCCTCTGGTGTTATATTCATGATTTCATATGGCCCTTGGAATTCGTATTTTAATTTACCCTGGTGCATGTAGTCATCCCAGTGCATAAGAACAAAATCACCCACTTTGTAGTGAACAGTGTTGAGACGTTTTTGATTGGCTCTAAGACGAGTTTGAACAGATGCCTCAAGGTTTTCTCTGACTCTGAGTGGTGTTGCTCCATCTATTTCAATTAAAACGTTTAGTGGAGTGATACCACTTGTTTTCTGTAGTGTTGTGTTCAATACAAGTTGAATTTCCCATAAATTGCTCGACCATTCTGACCGGTACTTTTGTTTCTACTCGAATTAAATTCATAATTGTTCTTATATATCTTTCTACCTGTCCGTTAGATTTATGTATATCAAGAGTTGTGTAATGATATTCTATACCCAAAGAATCCAAGTAATGGGGAAAACTTAAAAATTCTTAAAGTTTTTACTGGCATCCATTATGATTTTCCCAGGAGTTCCGAATAGTAATATGAGTGATTGAAATGCCAACCTCGTTTCATCGGTTTTGACAATTTTCAAGGTTTTAAGAACACAATACTTTGTGAATCCATCGATTAGTACAAGTACATGTTTATATCCATCACTTGCTGTTTCTAATGGTCCCAGACAAACGCCATGTAGAACCTTCATGGGTTGGGTTGGTTTCTCCATATTGTTTATAAATCCTTGTAACGGTCCTGAACAAGTTTTCTTTATGGCACAAACAAGACCATGTTTAATGTATTTTTTTTACAAATTGGCATATGCGTGGTAACCAAAAGTTCCTTTGGATGGTTTCAAGTGTCTTATCGGTTCCTGTATGACATTGTTCATCATGGAATATTCTAAGCACTCCTAGTCGGCTCTGGCGAGGCACAAACGATTTGCACTCATTTTATTTTCAGTTTTGACCATGTAATGTAAGATATAATTTTTTACGGTATAGCGGGACTTATCCAGACGTCCTTCTTTCCTGTCATCTATAAGTTGTCTAACCTCAGCATTTCCTCCTTGTTCAATATAAAGCCAGCTTTCATGTGTTTTTTTATTTTTATTTATTTATTTGTATCCAAACAGGCCAACGGCCTTATTACATGGATAAAAGTATCATAATACATAAATAATAATAATAAACAGTAGGTAATTACAACTAATATTACAACTTATTCAGTAAAGCAATAATTAATCAAGAGCAATGTAATAATTAAATACAAGTTTTCGGAACATATTAAATGGTAGTGTCCAATCTACATCAATACAAGTGTTGTTATTATTATTTGCCAATCGGAGCATGGTCACAAGAGGTGGCCTAAAGGTACCTAATACTGTTAATCATCAAATTAAAACAAATCAGAAACAAAATTTATAATATAAAGACCAATTATTAATGATATTTGTAAACGTGGCAGCATCGCATCAGCTGAGTGGCAGAGATCGATGATATTTTTTCTTAAAATAGCCCCTAGCAAAATAAAAACTAAAAAAGCACGTACGTTGGATAAAAAAAAAACATAAATAATGCCTGTGTAGGAACGGGAATTATAAAAACAAATCAACAAATCAACTCAAGATGTAATTTGATATCCTTTTTGAATCTAATAGGTACTAAAAATCATAATTACTGAACTAAATTGAAATAAGCTTTATTTTTTTTTTATAACATGTGAAAGAGCCCTTTTAATAAAATAAACTTAAATAATAATTAAATCTTTATTAAAATAAGAGTAATTTACAAATAGACCAAAAAACTACTAAAAATCTCACAATCGAATGCCGATTCCCGGCATGGAAAATGAAAAATATGCGAGTTAAGCAACACCTGCTAGAAATGACTAAATTCCTTATCTTAATTACTTTAGCAGAAAAATAAACAAAAGCGTCTTTTAAAATTCTCTTTTAAATGGATTTAGGAACTTAAAAAAAATATTGAAAGTAAAGTAAGTATTGGCACTTCTGCATTAGTTTTGTTGCTTTCTTTAGTATAACCTACTAAAGTAAAGATCTAATGGTCGAGAAACTGCTTCAAAATGTTTTATTGAAGATATATTACAAAATA